GGTTCTGGCTGCATCGTGGAAAACCTGGAGTGTGAAGGAAATCAACCCACTGCTCTGTGTGTGTGTGTCACTCCACCCCCTGCTGGAAGGGCTGAGCCCTGCACTGTGTGTGTGAGGGTTGGCGGAAATGGCCTGCGTTTGGGGGGGGGGGGGCGGGACGGGACGGAGAAATGATTGATTTGGGTGGAAATGTTTAAAGAAGGAAAATAAACAGTGAAAGGAGATAATTGTGTCTCCTTCCCCAGGAGGCAGCAGAGAGGACCCCAGCACCCCATAGAGAGGCTTACTCTATGAGGTCAGTGAGGGGGTGGTCTGTTAGCCCTTGGGTCTCCACTACACCCACATACCGGCTGGAGTTGAGTAGGCAGATGCAGCCTGTGCCCTCCCCCCAGCAGGGTGAAGCCCTGCCCCCAGCTGGACGGAATCAGCACTACCTGAGCATGCGTCATAGACCCCATCACGATAATGGCTCAGGGGAGATTTTCCTTCACATCCAATAGCCAGATCCTGCACTGGCACAGGAGGCTTGGAGATCTCTCCCCAAATACAGTTGGGGATGCTCATTGTTAGTGCGCCAGGTAACTGCAGTTTACAGCTCTGCAGGGCAGTAAAGACGGGCATGGAACACAGGAGTCCGGGGTCCCAGCCCCAACCCCGCCCCGAGCCACTAGACCCCACTCTCCTCCCAGAGCTGGGGAGAGAACCCAGGAGTCCTGGATCCTACTCCTCCGCCCCGCCCCCATTATTGCAGGTACAGGCAGACATCACACACAGGTCTCCTGCTGGGGGAGTGTCACCTCTTTCACACAATCTGTCTCTCTTCCTGTGTCCCCAGCAGGAAATCCCGTGTGCCGGGGAGATTCCCTGACCCTCGACTATTATAACAGCTCCAAGGACTATTGTAACTGAGCACGGCCGAGATCCCTGTCATCCACAGTCCTCTCCGTGCGGCCGCAACCCAGATCTCGATAAGAGTCCACCGCTCATGCCCCAGGGAGCATTCACCCTCCTCCATGAGCTGGGGAAACCCACGAGAACCCAGGCATCTTGACTCCCAGCCCTCCTCCCACCCCGCAGCAGAGCCCTGGGGCAGGCCCCACTTGGGCCACTGGAACTGGGCATTTCTGGGGCAGTTTAATTGTAGCTTCAATTTTCCAAGCTGTGTTGGCTTTTGGGAGTCAGGTCAGCCTAGCAGATAGAGAACAGAACTGGGAGGGAGGTGACCTGGAGTCTGCCTGCCCATGGGCAACTCACAGCCCTGCTGTGTGCCTCAGTTTCCCCATCAGTGCAAGAGGGGTAATGATCCTGCCCTGAGTGCCCTCCTGTGTGTAGCACTTGGCGATCTCTGGCCGGAAAGCGCTAGACACGGGCAGGGTGTCGTTACCGACCCCACTGCTGTTTTCTTTCAGTTCCAGCCCCTTTCTCAGCTTTAACACAGTTTTCGTCAGGGAATTGCCTCTGTTTTGTTTCTTGCTATTGGATAATAAAGCGGTTTTACAAAACCATCAGCTTGGGTGACTGCCGCTGGACAGGGAGGGTTTGCCGGGGGCAGGGGACTCCGAGGCTCAAAAGCAAAAGGAAAAAATGACGCAGCAAGCAGCCTTTCAAAGGGTTTTTTTAGCAGATTGAGCAACTGGGAGCCAATCACACTTTCCCGCCAGGATCCATTTTTGACTGGACGTTCCAGTCGAAAACCAGACACCTGGCAACCCTACCTGTAAGTTGGTCTACTAATGCAGTTTGTTGCCTTGGCTCTCTTGTTCCTGGTGTCTTGTGGACAAAGCTCCCCCTTAAACGCTCTGTTCCCAGGTCTCCAAAACTTAGGGGTCACTGTTGGGCCGTTTATCTGTGCCAAAGTTCATAGGCCCCAAGCCTTATGCTAACTGCTGCAGCCAGCAATTTACAAGAGACAGGCCTGTGGGTTGCTTGTATTACTGTCCCATAAAATAAATGCTAAAGCTAGTTCTATGGGCTACACAATGCTGCCACAGGGCCCCATGTGACCACGAGCAAGCCACTGCAGTGCTCTGTGCCTCAGTTTCCCCATCTGTACAATGAGGATAAAAATCTTACTTTTCAGACTACAAATGCTTTGGAGCAGTTTCTCGCTGTGTCTGAGCAGCATCTGGAACAACGGTACCCTGATCCCAGCTGGGGCAGGGTCTGTCTCTCGCTGTGTCTGGGCAGCACCTGGTACAGTGGGGCCCTGATCCCAGCTGGGGCAGGGACTGTCTCTCGCTGTGTCTGGGCAGCGCCTGGTACAGTGGGGCCTTGATCCCAGCTGGGGCAGGGACTGTCTCTCGTTGTGTCTGGGCAGTGCCTGTGGTGCCCTGATCTCAGCTGGGCCATTAGATGTGACTGTAACACATGTGGTAAATTGTAAGAACGACCACGCAGTGTTTAGCTTTATTAAGCATCGCAGCTTCCTGCCTCGCCGAGGAGAACCGAGACACTCCCAGCCCAGCCGCTTACTGCTGCGTTCATTGATCTGCCCATCTTAATGCCAGAAGGGACCGTTGTGCCCACACAGTCCGCCCAGCCCGGAGACCTCCCCCCAGGGATCCCGGACTCCAGCCCAGATTTCATGGTCGAGCTAGAGCAGTGCTTTTAGGGATGTCTGATCTCCATAGAAAGACTCCGAGGGCTGGAAACTCTGCCCTGTCCCTGGGGCAGTGATTCCCAGGGTCAGTTCCCCTCCCTGGGGAAAATCTGCCCCTTATTCCCAGTCTTGATTTGTCTGGCTTTATCCCCCAGCCGTCAGCTCTCACTCTGCCCCGTCTGTTGGGTTGATGAGACCTCTGCTCCCCGAAAGCTCCTCCCCAGTGAGGTGCTCACAGACCAGGATCTAATCTGCTTGTCTCCTTCTCTGGGAGAAACTCAGTAGATCGAGCTCCTTCAGTCCTTGGCTCTCGGGCAGGTTTTCCAGCCTTCAGATAGTTCCTATTGCTCTTCTCTGACCCCTCCCCGATTTCCTGAAGTCCTGCTGCACAAAGACTAGTGGCGAAAGCCGGCCTCCTGGGTTCTTTATCTAGCTCTGGGAGGGGAGCGGG